CTTAGGCCCCTAGCCTCATGAGCATAGCAAAAAGAACGGAACATAAGCGTTAGTTTCGATAATACTAATCCTACACACAAGACAAAATGATCACTCTTTCCGTGGAAGATTCCTTTAAGGTATCGTTTTCTGTGGTAATGAGGGCGGAGCTTTTTCCGTGGAAGATTCCTTTAAGGGGTTTGTTTGGATCATCATCTATGCTGATAAAAGTAAAGACAATTTGGTGTGCTATCATTTAAACTGAACCTAATTCTTAGCTCGTGAATATGATCCATTTCTAACCTTTCGTCAAAGAAGCAAAAAAATTGAGCCGCTCAACTATCTATACTTGAACCAGCAGCCATCGGAGCTACGTTAGGTGCTGATACTTGGTCATACTAATTCACTTCTACACCGATACTCAAGTGTTAAATCTATAGACCGCTAAATCATCCGAGCTCGATATCAATGCTAAATGTTTTCGAAGTCATGATAAGTACCATTCTGCATGCTATGTCATTCTTAGTCATGAACGCGTACCAGGTGGTCACTGGTTGGAAGTTATGCATTTTCAACGCATTATTGATGCACTTCTCAGCTATATACATGATTATACTTTGTCGAAGCAAAAAGGTAAGCAGACGATCAAGGTAGCGAGGTGAGGTGATAGGAAGTGGTAATAAACGGCAGCTGCGCAGATTAAAGTAACAACAATTGAGCGTGAACTCAGTTAGACTAAACAGAGCTCTTAGCACATAAATGAATGCTATCCGAGGTCGATATCAGTGCTAAATGTTTTCGAAGACAGATAAGTGCCATCATTCCGCATGCAGCTGCGCGTATTACGTGGTAATCTTCAGTGAAATTGGCAAACCTCTAAACTTCATCCAAAGCTTTGATGGCGTCACTGATAGATTGCTTCCTAAGGGCAGTGGCTCTAAATATGCAAGACTCCTTTCGACCAAGGTCGACCCAATGTTGGTACAAGTATTAACGGGGGGGGGTTGTATTTGGCTCAGCTTGTGCAGGGAGGTCGTACTCACCATGGTCGGCAGTGGAGCAAAGCCTTCTACCCTGCATGACTCGGCCATCAAGAGGAAGATTTGCAGAAACAGCAGCAGCGAAACATGAAGCTTATTTCGAAAAGAGTGCTCGCATCATGACATGGTCTAGCGAAGCCACAGGTGAAACTGAGGTGAAGCTGGAGCATTGCCTGATTCCAACATGAATAATAGCCACCATGTAGTTTACGCAGAATAAATAATACTAGAGCATCTATCAGCTCACGATTCCTTCCAAATGGACTATCAAATGCCAACGAATTAGAAGCGTGGCCTACGCGTGGCGCACACCACCGCTGAAGGAATCAATGCAAGCTCATGCTCGAAGCTTTCTAACACCCTCTATGTTCAATATGAAATCGGTTATTTGCGGGAGGTCACAAACCAGTCTGCAAACATAAAACACCCGCGTTTTGAAAAGAAAATAGCTTGAGGAATGTTCTTTCAAAAAAGTCCTAACAGTTCTTAAATTTGATTGAGTGGAATTTTTCGGAACAAGATTTTAGGACATTCTAGAAAAGTATGTCATCTTGAATCTTTCGCACACTTAAAGGCAAAAGTCAGGCTCGTGTTTCGGCATTATGGCACCTGATATTGAGTTTAGAGATGGGAGGTGGAACGATAGTGAAGAAAAAACGAAAAAAAAACTGTCGACAACACCTAAATAGAAACCCATTCCTTCTAGCAGTGAAGGAGATTTGCTCGGGGGAGAGTCACGTCCAAACGAGTTTTCTGGATATGCCAGCCGTTCCATCGGTTGATACGGCAATCAACTCAGCTGATCTCACACGTTAGGCCAGCCACGCACCACATCCCATGGTGGGCGGCCGGAGCGCCTCCAGGCGGCGCGAGCGCTTAATGCATGCCCTGGGGCGTTATTACGGCGCCTTTTGAGATTCTGAGCATGGCAACGTCCCTGTGGGTGCGTAGCCATGCACATAGACGACTAAAGTGATTGGTTTGGTCCACTGAGCCTGACTCGTGGCTTTAAGTTCAGCTTAAAAAATATTGAAGGAAGTTATGATCGTTTGAAGGTTAAAAAGTCGCTTTGCACAGAAAAAAGTAACAACGTACTAAATTTTTATTAAATTAACTTTCGAAGAATTTTTACCCATGGTTGGAGAGAGAATAATTTGAATTTTCCAAATCAAATCACTTCGGCGCAAAAACTTGAATATTGAAGAAAGTTATGACCCTCGAAAAGGAACGTAAAAATTGCATTGCAATTAATGAACTTAATAACTTAAATTTTGAATCGTTTGAGAACAAGGCAGCATCAGTTAGAAAGCCTAATCCAAAATCGGCCTCGATTTCCCGATTACCTGGAATTTAACAAAGAAGTACTCGTCTGAATTTCAGTTTCACCGTTCGTTGTCTGTTCACGGTCATCAAATCCGCTCCATCGTCAGGACAAAATGCGCGCGATTCAGCACATTCGAAACGATCAATAACGCACTGCGTTTCAGTCGTTGATTCTTTCCTTTCCTATCCGGAATTCAAAAGCTTAGCAGCACGGTGCCAAGTTAGTTGCGGGGGACTACGCTGCGGCGCCGCTGTTTCATGTTTTGCAAACGATTTCAATGCGATTGACAGACGCCGCGCCGCCGCGGGCTTACTTCTCCTCAACTCACTTAGCACCAATCCCTTTAAACTGCAGCCTCCTCCCTTTACTGGAATAGACCCTACAATTCTATTGATATGTATTTTGGGTCTATCCCAGTGAAAGGAGGGGCAATGCGGTGCACAGTCTGCTCTTTCTTGAATCGAATTAATATTTTTTATTATTACCCATATTTTCTATTACTGCTTACGCGTCACATCAGCTATTTTTCGAGTGCTTTCTGGTATTCCACTTGGTAGAGTTTTGTGAACTTTTTCAGTCGCGAAGCAACGTCCTTGTGGGTGTGGTTCATTGAGTAGGAAGCGACTTTTTTGCGTTTCGCAGCGCGAAACTTTTCTCGCTGCAGGAACCTCAGGTCCACCGCTGATCATCAGTGGACCTGAGGTTCCCTGCAGCGAAAAATGTTTCGCGCTGCGAAACGCGGGAAGTCGCTTTCTTTCCTAACGAATCACACTCATTCTGAGCAGGCGAAACACCTTAGTTGATATTATGATAACTATGATTCTAATCCGCATAGAGTCCGTCGAAACTGGTTTGGGTGACAATAATGGTGGGCTTTCTGAACTAGTCCGTTCAGAAAGTATACCCGCTTCTTATGCGAAATCGACGAAGTTTGCGATGCGCGATTCCAGTTATTTTTCGATCACTCTGTGTTACTCATGTGATCAGCATTAGGTTGAACAGCATCCATTCGCTCGAAAAAAAGATGCATGAACTCGCAGGATTCCCCTCTCTTTTAGGGCTGATGGTTAGTGCTGAACCTTCACACTAGGAGCATATGCTAAACTGCTTTGCTTGATTTCAACGAAAATGCTAGATTTTAATAAAAATTTTATGCATTAACCCTTTGGCGACAATGCGCGTTTCGACGTGGCGCGCCCCCTTTCTTACGTGCGCGACTGGCACCCACCGGTGGGTGCCATTGTCCCAGGAGAAAGTTCGTTCACAGGGTTACGAGATCTTGCAATACAGGATTGCGAAATTTTGCAATATGTCATGTATGATAGCAGTTTCAGGATTCTATTTTTTACATTAAGATACAATTGATGCTAAGACACAGAATACGGCTTTGGAAGCAATGCAGGATAAAATTTGGAAGTAATGCACACACTAGTATTTTGCACAACGTTCAAGGCTCCTTAGCACGACAATCCGACTATAAAAGCTGAAGAACTTCTGACAAATAACCAGTCTCGACCTTAGTCATGGACAGTTTGCTTGACGACGTCACAGAACTATATGCCTCCTCCGATGAATCGACCATCTTGAGCGAAGATGAGAATTTGCTGCATGATGACGCTGCTCAAGCCTTGGTTGTGCCAGTTCATTATGATTCATCCGAAGATGACGAACATGGAGACGACAGTGAGGAAGATGACGGAGAATTTTGGGACGAAGATGCTATTCCCTATGACCGATTCGTTTTCAGTGAGGAGTGTGGACCAGGCCCGGCTGTTGAAAACTGTACGAAACCCATCGATTACTACCAGCTCTTCCTAAATAATGAATTTTTGGATCTCATGGTAGCAGAGACGAACCGATATGCAAAAAATAAGATGATGGATCAAAACAAGGACTGGACCGACACAACTATCGAGGAGATGAAACGGTTTTTGGGCATCTGTCTCTACATGGGAATTGTCAAGCTCCCAAAACTACGTGATTACTGGTCTACAAAGCCAACTTTTGGAAGTTCTGTGGCCACTAAAATCATGGTCAGGAACCGATTCGAAGCCTTGCTATCATGTTGACATTTTGTAGACAACGATAATGCCGACAAAGGAAATCGACTTTGTAAAATTCAAGCGTTGCTGAATACTTCCTTTCAACGAATATACAAGCCGGAAAAGGAAGTTTGCATCGATGAAACAATGGTACCATTCAAAGGACGAATAGCATTCAAACAGTTCAACAAATCTAAGAGCCACAAGTACGGCGTCAAGCTGTTTAAACTTTGTTGCAAAGGTGGATACACTTTGAAGGTAAAGGTGTATGCTGGCAAGGACTCCACGAGGATAGGAGGTGTTGCTAACGCAGTAGTTATGGAGCTCAGGAAGGGTTATTTAGGAAGGGATCTATGCATTGATAGTTGGTATACAAGTGTGTCGCTAGCGAACTCGT